TAGCACGGCCAATCCACCCTAACCTGCACATCCCTGGGCACTACGGGACAATTTAGCACAGCCAATCCACCCTAACCTGCACATCCCTGGGCACTATGGGTAATTTAGCACAGCCAATCCACCGTAACCTGCACATCCCTGGGCACTATGGGTAATTTAGCACGGCCAATCCACCTTAACCTGCACAGATTTGGACTGTGGGAGGATATAAGAGCACCTGGGAGAAACCCACACAGATGGGGAGAATGTGCAAACTCCACACAGACAGTTGCCCGAGGGTGGCATCAAACCTGGGTCCCTGGCACCGTGAGGCTGCAGCGCTAATCACTGAGCCACCATGCTGCCAAAAATGGATATAGGCCAGGAACAAGCAGGTGGGATTAGTTTAGTTTGGGATCACGTTCAGCCTGGACTGGTTGGACCGAAGGGTCTGTTTCCATGCAGTGTAATGCCAACCAAGCGGGGGCTGCTTTGTCCTGGACAGTGTCGAGCTTCCTGAGTGTTGTTGGAGCTGCACCCATCCAGGGCAAGGGGGCAGTACCCTGACTTGTGCCTGAATAGATTGAGTTTGAGGTTGAGTAGGTTGGGCCTGTACTTGTTGGAGTTTAGGAGAATGAGAGGCGACCTGATTGAAACAGGCAAAGTTCTTAAGGGTAGGCTTGTAGGCTAGATGTGGAGAAGTTGTTTTCTCTCTGTGGGAGAGTCTGGGACCAGGGGGGCATTGTCTCAGGGTAAGGGTACTTTGTGTTTTTCAGGTTTGGGGTAAAGATGGGACGGTCATCAAAGGATAAACGGGACATTTACTATCGTTTGGCCAAAGAGGAAGGCTGGAGAGCAAGGAGCGCTTTTAAGCTTCTACAGCTGGACGAAGAGTACAACCTTTTCCAAGGTAATGGTTCCCGTTTTATACCCCACGTAGCTTCGTGCCACAGTCTGTGACTCCATATCGGAGCCAGGGCTTCAGTGGAGGGGGCTGAGAATGGAAGCGCGGATGTTTTATGCTGGAGAAATAGCAGAACATTCCGCTCAATCCGCGAGCGAGAAACAGGCGGATTTGATTCCAACAAAACCTTCCGGGGCACAAATCGTAAAAAAAAGTTGCTGCACAGCCTCAGCAGGTCGTTAGGATGGGCCGTGGGATTGGAGGGGGGGGGGTGCGTATTGCCAGGGGAATGGGGTACGAAAGTTAGGTTGTTTGGTCACAGTTGCACAGGGTGTTTGTGAGAGCCCATCTGGAGCACCGTGTGCTGTTTTGGTCTGAACAAAGTGAGATCCGACCTGTCAGAGGGGTGCCTTGTTGTGTTTCCAGCTGACAGTGTTAGCTTTCTTGTCCGCAGCATGTGGGCCACCACTTCTCCCCTGCCCCCCCACCCCCTAATTGCCCCTTCAGAAAAGGCCTTCTTGAACCGCTGCTGTCAGAGCGGAGCGTTGAGGAGGGGAGTTTCTGGGATTTGGACCCGGTGACAGTGAAGGAATGGCCCACATTGTTCCTGGTCAGGATGGTGAGTCTGGGGGCTTTGCAGGGGGGTGGTGTTTCCCCCAGCATCTGCTGCCCCTTGTCCTTCTGGTGGGGGCGAGTGGTGGCAGGTTCGGAAGGTGCTGTCAGTCGGAGGAGCCTCGGCAAGTTGCTGCAGTGCATCTTGTGGCCGGTACACACTGTTGCCCCTCTGTGTCGCTGTTGGAGCTCAGCCGAGCATTCCTAATGATCCCAGCTGCCGCAGTGCATCAGTGGTGGACAGAGGGAGTGTTGAAGGTGGGGGTTAGCATCTCGATCGAGCGGGGGTGGGGTGGTGCTTTGTCCTGGACGGTGTTGAGCTTCTTGAGTGTTTGTCGGAGCTGCCCCCGTCCAGGGCAAATGGGGAGTGTTCCATCACCCTCCTGACTTGTGCCTTGTTGATGGTGGAACAGGCTGTGGGGGGTAGATTCAGGAGGAGTTACTCGCTGCAGGATTCCCAGCCTCTGACCTGCTCTTGTAGCCGCTGTATTGATATGGGGCTGGGTCCCAGCTCAGTTTCTGTTCAATGAGTAACCCCCAGGATGTTGATAGTGGAGAGGGAGGTGGAATTCAGTGATGGTAATGCCATTGAACATCAAGGGGGCGATGGTTAGATTCTCTCTTGTGGGAGATGGTCATTGCCTGGCATTTGTGTGGTGCGAATGTTACTTACCACTTGTCAGCCCAGGCCTGGATATTGTCCTGATCTTGTTGCATTTGGACACAGGCCGCTTCAGTATCTGAGGAGCGGCGGATGGTTCAGTCATGATGAGGTACTTTGGAGTCTCTAACCTGAGTGCTTCTTTCACCAGGGGTATGCAGGGCAGTCGATCTGTGCGCCGCCCCTGGCAGCTGGAGTCAGGTCCTCAGCCGGAAGCTCAGGTCAGTTTTGGACAACGGGGTCCTCTTCCCGATTCGAGCCCCATCCCCTGCCCCCTTTGTTCAGGATATTGTGGAAACTGCCCCACTTACATTTTTCCCATTGCGATCTTAGCTTTGCTGTCTCTCTCTCTCTCCTTGTCAGCCCTTCACGCCCCCCCCACCCCCCAAAACCCCCGAAGATTGTACATGTTGCTCCAGGTATGGTATTACCGTGGTCCTGTAAAGGTTGTAGCAAGACTACCGGTTAGTAACTACAGGCCGAATGGCCTCTTTTGACCACTCTGTGATTGCTTCTTCTCGGACATTAAGAACTAACGTTGCCATTTGCCTTTCTAATTGGTCGATGTTCCTGCTTGACAATCTTCCATTGACACCCAGATCTCCCCACACGGCGTTTTCCACTGCCCCCATTTCAAAAAGGGTTTCACTTTCTGTTCTTTTTCCACCCGTTTGGCTAATTTTGCACTTCTGCACAATGGATTCCATCAGCCACCTTCTGCATATCGTCTCAATGCAGATGTTGACATTGGCCTTGGGTGAATAACTTTTCCTTTAACGTTATCGACTGTCGTGGCACAGTTGCGCGTGATGGCTACAACGTGGCTCTGAGGTACCGTGTTATTTTCATATGTAAACAGTCACGGTGCAGTTACGTGTGATGGCCACAAGGTGGCTCTGTGAGACACCATGTTATTTTTATATGTAAACCGTCACAGTCCAGTTACGCGTGATGGCCACAAGATGTGTCCGTGAGGCACCATGTTAATTTTATAGGTAAACAGTCACGGTGCAGTAATGCGTGATGGCCACAAGGTGGGTCTGTGAGGCACCATGTTAATTTTTGTATGTAAACAGTCACAGTGCAGTTAAGTGTGATGGCTAGAAGATGGCTGTGTGAGGCACCATGTTATTTTTATATGTAAACCGTCATGGTACAGTTACGCATGATGGCCACAAGGTGGCTCTGTGAAGCAACTTTATGAAAATCCTTCCCAACTAACCGTGACCAGCTTGACAAATTAAACACCTCCCTCCTCCTCCCCCTCCCCCTCCCCCTGGTGACCTTTGCTCCTGACATTCCAGGAAGGAAGATCCCAACAGTTCGGATGTCAAGATCGTCGCCGTGGATCTCCAGGCTATGGCGCCGCTCCCTGGGGTTATCCAGATCCAGGGAGACATCACCAAGGTAACCTCGGGGTCGGGGTGGTGGGATGCAGCACTTTGAGCTTGAAGAACATTGGGGGGGGGGGGGGGGTGTGGGACAGTGAATATATTCAGGGCCGAGTTAAAGGAGATTTCTGATTGAGGAGGGAGTGGAGCGCTTTGGGAGTAGAGAGGAAGGTGAGTGGAGTCGAGACCACAATCAGATCAGACACGTTCCAGTCGAATGGGGAGGCAGGGCCGAGTGGCCTCCTGCTGTTCCTGGTACATCCGACACGACCCTCGGGTGGTGTGCAGCCAATTTCGAACTGTGTGTGTGTCCTGGGCCATGAACAAACTGAACACTTTCTCTTCCTATTTTGTAGGTGTCAACTGCTCAGGAGATTATCAAACACTTTGAGGGGCACGCTGCAGATTTGGTGGTTTGCGATGGAGCACCGGATGGTACAGTAACAGTTCGCCCTCGCAGAGGGCACGGGGGATGTGCTGTGTACTGCCGTGATATTGGGTACAGCTCAGCTTTGGGATCGGTCACCGCACACTGAGGCTGGGGAAGAATCACAGGCAGATCACAATTCTGAGGGCCCACTGTCATTGAGTTCACCCTATCACAGCC